GTCTCAGTTAAGAGTGAAGTTGGTTTCTTTCAGGCTGTTGCCACAATAAGCTTATTATTACTGGGGCTCAGCAATGTGAAGTAAGTAATTATTTTGGTTATGAGTATTACAATAAGTGTCTATAGGGTCAGGATTTTAAAATCTTAAGCATCCAGGCTTAGAGGGTGGGTTTGGAGAGGGCAGAGAGCCAAACTCCACACTCCCTGTCTTGGTTTTCCCATCCAAAGAAGCCCTACTTTTCCCAAAGGTGGCAGATGAAATCAGCACATCGTAGCACAAGTCTGCTGCCCTACTACTCTCTGCCTTGGGGATGCAAAGGACCCCTCCAGCTCAGAGTAACTGCGCCGAAGCTTCCTACAACCCTGCGCACTGCTGACTTTGAGAATGAGCCTCCCATGAGGCGATGTGAGTTCCCTGCTTCTGGGATGGGCAGGCGTCAGCTTAGCTCCCTGAGGACACCTCTCCCTGTGGTGAGAGGAGTCCCAGTCTGTGCCAGTTCTCCCTCCTCAATTGGGAAGGCAGGTGAGGATTGCAGTGGAAGAGCTGTTGGTTTTGGAAGCTTTATAACTTTCTTCAAAAGGCAAAGGATACATGATGAGAGGACTTCACTTGTAGACGTGAGCTCAGGCTGGCCAGGCAGACACCGGGACTGTGGAGGAATGCTAGCCGATGTTAGCAGAATACTTTTCTCCCATAGCCTAAGGACATGCTCCGACTCCCTGTTTACCACAACTGGTCTCTAGCGTCCCCTTAAGATCACAAGGAGGATATTGTAGACCTGCTTAAGAACTATCACAGAGAGAAGACTTCTGGAGGAGAAACTTGAACTCATGCGACTGGATGCGAAAGGTCTTTTGCAGTTACTCCATAATCTTGCCCTGCTCAAAATGGATGAGAGAATCAGCCATTTAAGAACACACACACACACACACACACTCCCACCCCAACCTCAAAACCCCAAAGCTCTTCTCAAATACCCAGGGGCAAGTTCCCATAAACCCCAACAGTTCCATTTTCTGAAAGCTCATGAGCCATACTTCCTTATGGGCACAGAGGGGTGGGTAGGGGATACATGTGTGGGGGTATGTTTCTGAAAGTGAATCCAAACCAGAGCAAGACACTAGCAGAACACTCTGTAAAGACCATAACAAGTATTTGAGCACACACTATCAAAAAACCAAAACAAGGCCATCCACAAACAGCCTTGCAAACAAGGCCAGGTTTTAAGGCTACATTCCTAGCCACAATGTCTGTCCAATAAAGCCATTGACTTGTTGAAATCTCATCCTTCACTTGCATTTTAATGACCGAGTGAAGCTGACTGGAGCCAGACATGTGTTTTTGTTTTCCTTCAGAAATTGTACGCTAAGAAGGACTACAGTATGACCACAGCTGTATCAGAGCTTAATGAAAAAGTATTCCTAAGTTACCAGATCATAACTGCAAGCACTTAATCATGCATCTGGAAGACAACTTACTTATGTATAGAGCCAGCTCCATGCACTGCCCTCCCCCTGCTTCCTCCTCCCAGTGGAATTTATGTTAAAACCCCTCGTCCAGGAAGGACTACTGGTTTCTCCATCAGAGCTGCTTACTCAAGCCATAGAAGTGGCACAGTGCCCTGTTAGACAGCATTACAGTACTGCTGAATGTGATCAGAGAAAGGGAATAGGCCTAAGGTTTGAGCAGGGACAGTATTTATGTTCATTTGGAAGGGGTTACTTTTTGCAGGGTTTTTGGTAGCTTTATTCAAGCTACATACATAATTTGCTGAAGTTTTCTACTTTCATTACCTCAGTTACCAGTTCCTGGGCGCATTGGTTCTAGTCACAGAAATAACACCCCGACTGCAGAGCTGTCATAGGGGAAGCACTATGGGCACCAGCCATCATCTGCAGCTCACATTTCAGGACCAGCGGACTAACTAGACCGGATGCTGGCTTTAGCAAGAGCTGTAGTTATTTCTAGCTAGGCCAGCTGAGCTTAGAGTTTACAAAAAGCAATGGAGAATGGCACTGGCTGGAGACAGGGAGAACAGTTCTTGCTTGTCTATTAGGGCCATACTCCATCATGTTTCGCTAGCAGACAAAACAAATCACCAAGTAACTAAGCGTCCAATTACCTTCACTTCTGACCTACCTTAAGGTAAAGCACACCTCAGTAAGCCAACCTATTACCTTTCCAGTGCGGTAGTGTCACAGCTACTTCCCTCCACAACGCCATGGAATTATTATCCATAGTCCACCACTCACTGCAATTTAACTGCTTCGCTACTAACATTGAAACTGAGCCAATTAAGCAGGGCTAAAACCCATCACAGCTTTAATTTGCAAGACAGAGAGTGCAGATCTCTCACTGCAGTAGAGACTTCCAGTCCTGTAGTCCTCACTAGCAAAACATCTAGCGAAGCTGAGGGATTGTACCTCCCTTAACACCTCTGCTTTTGCCCTGCCTCCTCCTCCTCACTGCTGAAATCTGCTTGAGTCAAGACCCTCCCAGTTTGGTCTCTCCCCATTCACACTCATGCCAACAGGAGAGCATTACTTTTGTACTTCACCAGCTTACACGGACTTTTAAAGCGTCACTGTACAGAGGCTGCTCGATTTTCTAATGAAGTCTTTAAATTATATTTTTAATAAAGTGGTTTTAAACCTGTCTGGGAATTTCTCCTCTAAAACTGTTGCCTAACCTAACATGCAAGCCGTTGTGTGAGAGGACTTCTGTGCAGGCCTTTCCAGCAGCAACAGCTGTTCCTCCTGGAGATGCAATACGCTACTGGAGAAGCTGAAGAACTGTGCAGAAGGCTGCATCTGCCGCTTGTCTCTCACAGCTTGGTTTTGGCGCTTCCCTGTAGCCCTTCCAGAGGCTGGATGGTTGCCAAAAGAATATTGTGTTCCCTTTCAAATCAGCTGGGATCCGCCATGACAACGTCCCGTTCTCCATACCCTGCGTCATGTCAGGCAGCTCACACTAAGACGTTACGTCTCTGCTCAGAAGCAGAGGAGGGAGGTGGCTGCATTCAAAGGGGTGAGACACGAGCAGGAAGAAGTCTTTTCTCTACGCATTCAGACAAGCGGAATGGCCTGCAGTGTACAGTCAGGAGGTTTTACAGTATGAACCATTGACTGACGTTTGCCTGTTGATACGCAGACAGCCTCAAGGTAGTGGAATGTGGTATCACAGCAGGCGGCAGGATTGCATGCCCTATCTACAGATATGTCCAAATGAGATGTATGTAATGACAGCATGCAGAACTATCCATAGTTTTTTTAGAAAATGTAGGATGCAAGCACAAGCCTTAGCCAGTGATACTGATAAAACAAAGAAACAAATCCATTTCTGCAGATTGTCAAGAATTCAAATGCATTTATAAGAACAGTTTTCAACAGAAGTGGTTTTTGCCATGGCAAAATCTGAGCTTTCTAAAATGGAAGTTTTGTAACATAGGTTATAAATAACGGGAGTTTTCAGATCAGCTAGAAGAAACTCAGGAATGTAACGAAGAATCAGGAATGTAGAAGCATCTCAGCAGCAGTTACTCAAACTTGTTTCAGAAAGCATGTTTGTCCCACAGTCATTTCCCAGAAAACAGTCACCCTCCAGTTTCAGAGAACAAGCTTTTTCTGCTGCAGTGCAGCCTAACCATGGTGACTGTCTGCTTTTGCTATGCAATAATTTTGTTTATTTTGCAGATCACACTTGGCCAAGAAAGAGCTCAGCAAGTCCTAAGTCCAAAGGGCCAGGTTATTTCCAACAAATGGCAGCTGATGCCATTGCATACACAACCTTGTATCAAGGCTTCCCCAAATGCCCTGCAAACTGGATTTAAACAGCAGCCTGCCACTGCAGGGCATCTGTTGTGGCACTACAAGAAGTAGAAAAGTCAAAGTCTCAGTTCAGCAGTAATAGGATACAGGTTTGGCCCCAAACCAATCTAATTCTTAAAGGAACACAATGACTCTAGATTTTTTACAATCACTGCCTTAGCTGCACCTAACACATCGGCATCAGTAACGGCTCAGGAAAAAGGAGCGCAGAGCACATCCCAGGCAACTTTTGGTGAAAGCCCCATCAGCCAGTGAGAGTAATATACATTAAAGTCATGATCCTTTGATTTAAGCATGATCTAGCTATCGCTTTATTCCTTGAAACTAGACTGTCCTCAAACTACTGGAAAAGAAAGGGTGCCTGATACCTGAAATTTCAGCCTTTCATTTTCTCTTTGATGCATTCTGTATTTTAAGGTTCTTACAAATTGACAGGAAGTTTCAACAAGACAAGTAGCTGAGTTCAGTTACTGTTACTTGTGTTTCAAGGATTTCATAAACAACCCTAGAGCTTGACAACATCCTGGAATGTTTGGTTTTGATCTTAGTCTATCTGATGTGATGTATTAGTCCATGCTGGCAGGTGAACGCCAAAACCCCCTCATGCATAGGTACAGGCACTCTTAGCTGTTCCATATCAGGTACGGATTTCTGAGAGGTCATTAACCATCTGATTAACGGTAACTTTAAACAAGAGTAGCAACAGCATGCCCTTTTATTAGAGTATGACGTGGTAAAAAGCAAACTGGAGAAAAACAAGCTTGCTTGGTTATTTAACTGTTTTGTTTTTTTTTTTTTTTACTCATAGCTTCATCAAGGGAGTGAAGAAGACAGAAAAATCTCAGGAGAGCTTTCCCACCATCCCTTTTTGCAGTAGGAACTGTGCAGGCAAGAAAAATGTGTGACTCCATATTTATTTATTTTAGTTGTGCTCAGAGTTTTACAGGTAGCATCTTCCCTTTAGACCTTCTCAACAGAAATATAAAAAAGTTTGAAGCCGTTTCCCCATTTACCCACTCATCTCCAATAATCAACTGAAGTGAAAAGCAAAAACATCTTTTGTTAAAAGAAAGAGTGGTGAGTTTGTGAGGCTTATCCCAGT